AATCAATATGTACAAAAGGTTGAATATGAGCAGCTGAATCACTTCCTGCACATGAAGACAACTGTGGTGTACTGCCTGCAGGTGAAGATAATGCATAAGATGTATCTTGGTCTTGAGATGGTATAGAGGAAGGAACATGAAACTCCAGATCAATGGGAATAGAGGTAACAAATGATAACTTGGGCATTGGAGAGTTAGGATGCATTTGATGAAATGGAAATTTATTTTCATCAAATGTAACATGTCTGGATATATAGACCATTTAGGTGATAGGATCCAAGCACCTATACCCCTTGTGTTGTAAGTTGTATCCCAGAAAGACACACAAAGTACTTTTACCATCCAATTTAGAATAAACATAAGGTTTCAATCATGGATAGCAACTAGAACAAAATTCTGAGTATGGAGTAATTAGGAGACCTGTGAAATGATAATTCCCAAAGAGATTATGCACTCCCAGAAATTGGCTATCAGTTTATCAAATAAACTGCAGTGGAAAATACTTGAACCCAATACTTTTGAGGAACATGAGGAGCTACTAATATGGTCCTTACAACCTCCACAAGATGTCTATGTTTCCTTTCCACACAACCATTTTGTTCAAGTGTGTGTGGACAACTGAAATAATTTAAAGGACCATTGGAAGCAAGAAATGAATGTAAAGCAATACTAGTGAATTCAGCCCCTGAATCTGAACGCAAAGTTTTGATTTTATTGCCAGTTAAATCTTTTACATATGCTTTGAAACTTACAAATGTAGAATACATTTTAGACTTTGCTTTCAATAGAAAAAACCAACTGTACTTGCTATGATCATCTACTATAAGCAAGTAATATTTGAAACCACTAAATGAAACAATAGATGCAAGACCCCACAAGTCATAATGTAGAAGTTCTGGAGACTGAGTAGTTGGTGAAGTTGCATCACCAAAAGGAAGCTTGTGATTCTTAGTTATGACACAATCTGAACAAAGGAAATCCACAGTAGATTTACCTTGCACATCCAACTTATTACTAGATAACGTTTTCCTGAAAATTGAAGATAAGGGATGGCCCAAATGTTGATGCCAAAGCTTTCTTAGAGATTTAATACTAACCAGAGCTGAGGCAGTAAAAGAAGAAGAATCAATACTTGATGAAGAATTACTAGTTGAAGGAATGTGTTGTAGAGGATAGAACCCTTCTTTAACTGATCCCCGCAAAAAGGTCTTCCCCATAGAAAGATCTTTGACAACGGATCCATCAAAATCAAGTGTCAATAAACAATAATTGTCTCGTAGAAATTGAAAGGCAGATAATAGATTGTGCTTCATATGAGGAAAATAAAGGGCATTGTTCAATTTAAAAGTGGCTGCAGTAATGAAAAAGAACCAACATGATTAATGGACAGACCTTTACCATCATCTATGTACAATTTGTCTTCACCAGTGTATGAAGTAAGAGAGTTGATATTGGAGATGTCATTTGTAATATGTGAAGTTACTTCAGAGTCAATCAACCAAGATGGAGAGGGTTTGGCAGTATAGTGTGCACACATTGCCTGAAGTTTAGCATGAGGAATATGACCAGAAATCTTAGGATTCATACAATCAAAACAATCAATGGCTTCATAACCAGTATTACCACATATTTGGCAAGGAGCACGAGGGCCAGAAGTTGAGCCATGAGAATTGGTGTTATTATTGGTACGATTAAAGCCATTGCGGAAATGATTACCACCATAATTGCCTAAATTGCCATGATGATTGTTCAAACGGTTGTTCTTGCCACGATTCGAATTGAATCGAAAAGACTGCTGAAGTGGTTGATTCTGAGCAACATAAGCCTAACGTGGTGTAGAAAGAAGAGGTGGTTGAGCTTGAACCGATAGAGCATGAAAAGGTTCAACATTGTTAGATGAGGCAGCTTTCTTACTGCGATTCATCAAAAGCTCATTTATGAGTAGTAATCCATGTAATTCATCAAGAGATGTAGACGACAAATGAAGCATAATTGAATCAATGAATGACTCAAAATCACCCAGAAAACCAACTAGGGTTGTCGTAATGAGATCATGATAAAAAATTGAGGCTTCAGCTGCAGTGAGAGAATCAAAGATCTCTTTAATTTGTTGTAAGTAATCAGACATTGATTGCGAACCTTTTTGAATGCTATGAAGTCGCGAACAAAGCTGATGAATGTGTGCATCAGAAACTCCCCAAAATCATTACTCGAGTTTGAGCCAAAGATTGCGAGATGAGGACACACCAACAATAAATGGAATTACCTCCCCAGATAGTGTAGAATTGAACCAAATCAAAAGATTTTGGTCCTTCTCGTACCCAATCTCAAACGCCGGATTGAGGGATCAATCAGGCAGAAGTGGCACTGGACATGGTTCTGTGCCATCAATAAGACCAAAAAGCTTATAATGACGAAGAATTGGGGCAAATAGGGCATGTCATGGCAGGTAATTGGATCTCTTGAGTTTAATTGCCACCATGCTTCCTATGTTCTGGATCATGAGAGATGTGTATGACTGAGAATAATTAAGGTTCGAAGAGGAATTTTGATTCAGAATTTTCACCGAATCAAGAGGAGAAGAAGATTTAGAGGGAGATGCCTTTGAAATTCGAGATTATCGAACTAAGATCGAAGATCGGAATACAAGGTCAATGAAGAAAATTGATCGATTCCTCAGACATAGACAATCAGAGAAGTAGAGAGGAAGAAATTAGGACCAAAAGAAGCCGTGAGGCGGTTGGCGATGAAACCATATGGAAACTGTATCTTCGTGACTAAGAAACCTGAGTTTAGAGAGAGAGAAATGTAGAGAGAGAAAGGAAATTGTACAACTGTATTTTTCATTACACTGATTAATTACACTTGTGTGGTATATATAGCCAAAGCTATGTACAGAACCAAACACAACAAACTAACAAATTACATTTACGTGTGGCACAATATGATTGGCTAATCTATATTGAGGAACTATCTAATTGTCATGACTTAGCATCTTCCTTTTTAGATCTAACACGTGTGACCCATTAGACCCAATAATTCTATGAACTTGAAAATAAAACATCTTTTTCCAATGCTTTGTGTCTGTACGAGGGGAGACGGTAAAGCCATTCCTGCCCAAATAAACAATCCAGCTATGTTGGGCTCTCCAATAGCCTGACTGATTGGGCTGGGATGGAGAGACTCTTTTGGAGTTTTGGGGGATTCGGTAGGGAGGCAGATTGTTTGCCCTCCTTTTACCATCCCTTCCCATCCCCTCATATTTGTGTTGTCACGGTTAAGCCACGTGTCATATTATTTCTATAAAAAAATCAATATAAAATATTGAGGTGGCTTAACCGTGACCGCACAATGTAGGAGGGGATGGGAAGGGCATGGTAATGGGAGGGCAGACAATTTGCCTCCATTCGGTAGACCAATTGCCCAAGCAATTGGAATGAGTTAGACTTGTTCCTAAATCAGTGTGGATTTTTCTTGTGCTTTTGTTCCTGGAAGGGGATTATTTACCCTCCTAATCTTTCTATCCTTCCATCCCCTCCTATTTGAACGGTCACGGTTAAACCACGTCAACATTTTATATTGATTTTTTTAAATAGATAATAAGACAAAAAGTAATGTGTGAGAGGAGAGGATACAAGAGGATGAGAATAGGAGGATAGAGAATCCTACTCATTTTTTCATTCCGTTGACGGGTAGAAAGTGAATGTAATTTGGAGATGGATTGTCTGCCCTCTCATTTCCATACTCTTTCCATCCCCTCCTGTTTTGTGTGGTCATGGTTAAATCACGTCAACATTTTATATTCTTATTATTTTTTGTTTTATTATTTTTATAAAAAAAATTAATATAAAATATTGACATGGCTTAACTGTGATCACACAAACAAAAAAAATAAGAAAAATATGAAGATGGGAGCACAGACAATCCACCTCCTATTAGCACAGGCCTGTTGACTGGTGGAAAGTGTTAGCGCAGGCCTGTTGACCGGTAGAAAGTGAATGTTATTAGCACAGGTGGGGCATTCTTACGTTTTGGTTCTTTAACCAGTGGAAGTAGAAGAAAGTGGATGTCACTTCACATTTCACTCAACTGTCGGCGGCAGTGCCAGTGCAATTCACTATTAGGCATTTGGAGGAGTTTCATTTTCCAGTTTTCACCCTCACATGGAGCTGTGAGAGTTCTGAGTATCCACCTAAACCCAGTTAGCCAGGTCAGTCAGACTCCTCGTGAATTTTGATTTTACCTGAAATGTTTTGGTTGCTGGCTTGGCTTTCCATTAATTCCTCATTTAATCTGCTTTACTTTGTTGGAATATTTCTACCAGCCATCTCTTGAATTCTCTCAAGTCTTGATTCATCTTTTTACAGTTTTTTTTTTGTTTCCTGATGTTAGTTGGCTAATTTTGGTTTTGGGTTTGGGAAGGTTGAAGGGAATGAGAGGTTTTAATCTGAAGAAGAATATCAATACCAAAACTAAAAAAAAAGATCAAAATTATTATTTGGTTTTTGGTTTTCATTTTTGTGTTAGAGATAGCGGGATATAGGTGGGAGAAATGAGGGATGTAAAAGAATGGTAAACAGATGTAAAAGAAAATCTATAAGCAAAGGCACACAAAACGAAAATAAAAAATTATTTTGAGTTGCTTTCACTTTCAAGATTTTTCGCCCTTTTTTCATCCCTCCTTCCCCTCTCCCTCACCCCCCAATATACTTTCCCTACATCGCAGGCACAAAAAATGAAGGTTTAAAACTAAAAATGAAAACCGAAATGTTAACCAAAAATATGGAAACAATTAGGTAGATCCTTCGTTCGATCGCATTTTTTTTCCTGCTCTGCTGGTTCAAACTTCACACTCTCTTCTTCAAAGCTTTTTGTGATGATATCATATTGTCAGAGTAAATGCAAAGTGTTAACACCCTCCTTCAGTGTTTCTGATCAGATTTTGAAAGACCTTTCTGTAATCTTCACCATAGACAAAGCGGTAACCTTCCACACCTTCAATGATCGGCCAAACAGATATTCCTTCTTCTTCTTATTGGTCTCCTCCGACCCCTCAATGGACATACGATGTGTTCCTCAGTTTCAGAAGCGAAGACACCCATAGAAATTTTACAGACCATCTGTATACTTCTCTGAATCAGAAGGGAGTATTTGCATTCAGAGATGCTGAACAACTTGAGAGGGAAAAACCCATCTCGCCAGAACTCTTGAAAGCAATTGAAGAATCAAGATATGTAATTGTCGTTCTTTCAAGAAACTATGCCTACTCAACATGTTGCTTGGATGAGCTTGCAAAGAGTGTTGAATGCATGAAAGTGATGGGGCAGGCATTACTCCCAGTTTTCTATGATGTGGATCCATCTGAGGTACAAAAACAAATGGGGAATTTCGGGAAAGCCTTCTCCAAGCATGAAGAAACCTTTAAGGATAATACAGAGAAGGTGCAAAAGTGGAGAGATGCACTTACTGAAGTGGCTGATCTCTATGGATGGCATGTACAAGATGGGTAAGGTTACTATTCTTCTTGTAGCACCGTAAATTTTATTCTTTTCTTTTTGGTTTTGACGAAAAAACTGCAGAGGAGGTATACCAATGTGCTCTTTCTTTTTGTTCCTGTAACAAAGAAGAAAGAACATAAAAAATTTAACATTCCTTTATCTTGGTAGATGGTGCTGACAAAATTTCTATGAGAGGATTATTTATTTATTGTTTGTTTGCTTTTTCAGGTATGAATCGAAAATTATTCAAGATATTGTGAGATATATTTTCACAAAAGTAAATCAAACAATTTCAAGTATATATACGGATTTAGTTGGGATGGATTCTCGCGTAAACAAAGTGATTTCTTGCTTAGACATGGCGTTGAACAATGTATGTATGTTAGGGATGTGGGGGATGGGGGGGATTGGTAAGACAACCACTGCAGAAGTAGTTTTTGATAGGATACGTTCTCAGTTTGAAGCTTACAGCTTTCTTGCCAATGTTAGAGAGGTAACCCAGAAACAAGGTCTAGTCCATTTACAAAAGCAACTTCTTTCGGATATCCTGTTCGAGAGTAATGTAGATGTACATAATGTCCATATGGGGATCAGTAAAATAAGGCAGAGACTGTGTAATAGAATGGTTCTTATCATTCTTGATGATGTGGATCAATTAGAACAATTGGAAGCATTGTGTGATCATAGTTGGTTTGGTTCAGGGAGTAGAATTATAATAACATCGAGGGATGAACATTTGTTACGCACATTTGGAGTGGATATAATGTATAAGGTTAAGGCATTAACTGATGCTGAAGCTCTTCAGCTCTTTTGTCGGAAAGCATTCAAGAAAGGCCAGGTCAGTGAAGACTTTCTCAAGCTGGCAAACAATGTTGTAGAATACGCTAATGGCCTCCCATTAGCTATTGAAGTTTTGGGTTCTTTCCTCCTTGGTAGAAGTGTAGAAGTATGGTCAAGTGCTTTGGATAGCCTTAAAGAAAACCCTGACAAAAGAATAACTGAGGTGCTTAAAGTAAGTTTTGATGCTTTAGAAGACATAGAAAAGAAGGTATTTTTGGATTGCATGTTTCTTTAAAGGGGAGGAGAAAGATCGTGTTACAAGAATACTGGAAAGTAGTTGTGGCTATCGTCCAGACATTGATGTAGCAGTTCTCATAGAAAAATCTTTACTAACTCTATTTGGAAGAAAATTGTGGATGCATGATTTGATACAAGAATTAGGTTGGGAGATTGTTCGTCGTGAATGCAGTGAAGATCCGGGCAAACGTAGCAGGTTGTGGCTTCCCAAGGATATAATCCATGTACTTGTAAACAATGAGGTAATTGATTGTTACAAATATAGATTCAAAGATTTACTTAAATGAATTTATCATCGTTGTATTTTCTATATCTTTGTACTGCAACTGATTTTTTCTTCTTCTTTGTCAGGGAACACTTGCGGTGGAAGGTATATTCCTGAATCTACCAAAACAAGAGGTGGTTCACGTAAATGTTGACCCCTTCTCAAAGATGTGCAAGCTAAGATTGTTAAAAATTAGTAATGTGTTTTTTTCTGGATCCATCAAATACCTTTCTAACGAGTTACAACTGCTGGAATGGCATGCATTTCCTTTTAGTTCTTTGCCATCAAACTTTCAATCAGATAAGCTTGTGGAACTCCACATGCATTCAAGCCTTATCAAACAACTATGGAGGGGAAATAAAGTAAGATTATATTCTTGTGCGTGCTTATATTTTGAAATATTAATATCAACCTATTATTTATTTACTTTATGGTAATTTTACATTGTATCAGCGCTGGAGCATGCTAAAGTCTATTGATCTAAGTGATTCCTTGTACTTGATTGCGACCCCAAACTTCATTGAGGTTCCAAATCTTGAGAAGTTGGTGCTTCAAGGTTGCACAAGATTGGTTGAGGTTCACCCTTCCCTTGGATTGCTCAAAAACCTTATCTTGTTGAATATGAGAAACTGCAAATCTATTGAGAGCCTTCCACCTTTCATCAATTTGGAATCTCTTAGAACTTTAACTCTCTCTGGTTCTTCAAGACTCAAGAGGTTTCCTCAAATTGAAGGAAATATGAAAAGCTTGTTGGAGCTTCATCTAGATGGAACTGCCATTGAAGAATTACCACCATCAATTCAACGTTTGACTGGTCTTACATTGATGAATATGGGAGGCTGCAAAAACCTTTTCCGTCTTCGGAATACCATTCAATATTTGACATCTCTTGAAACTCTTATTCTAACAGGTTGCTCAGAACTTGATGACATACCTGAGGATTTGAATTGTGTGGAATGTCTTGAGGAGCTTGATATAAGTGGAACTGCTATAAGAGCATCATCATCCATTGCGGCTATGAAAAATCTAAGGACTTTATCCTTCCAAGGATGTAAAGATCTACCTTCAAAATCGTGGCATTCTCTCTTTAATTGTTGGTGGTGGGGTAGAAAGGGCAATGTTCCTGTGAGTTTGTTGTTGCCTACTTCGTTGTCAGGTTTAACTTCCCTGACGAGCCTAAACTTAAGTGATTGCAATCTGATAGATGGAGCAATACCTGATGATCTTGGCACCTTAATCTCCTTAAGGACATTAAACTTAAGTGCTAATAACTTTGTTTGCTTACCTGAAAGCATCGGCCAGCTATCTAAGCTTGAGTCTCTCAACTTGATGAATTGTAGTAGGCTTCTGTCACTGCCTAAGAAGCTTCCATTAAGTGTTCGACACGTCCCTGCAGATGATTGTACATCACTGATAGATTTCCCTGATCAATTCAAAGTATGGACCTCAGCTGTTTCTGGAATGACTACAATCAGTGCCCTCATTTCATCCAAGCATCAAGAATCTTCTACTTCATCACCACTAGACCAAAAATACACAAAGACATGGACTTCATCAACTGTCCCAGGACGTAGTTTCTTTAGTTTTGGCCCCGAATCAGATAAGCATCAACAATGGAGTCCAGTTCATGATCTTTCACTGCCAAATCAAGTTCTGCAAAAAGACATTGAAGTCTCTCTCTCTCTCTCTCTCTCTCTCTCTCTCTCTCTCTCACACACACACACACACACACACACATATGCACACACTCGCATGTAGGTGAACACCGAGCATCTGTATTTTTCTTATTATATAACTAATCATAATTTTTTTTTTCTTTTTTATGTTACAGCTATATGATTATAAGTCACATTCCATAAAGGCTGCTTGTTATCAAAATGAAATTCCAGAGTGGTTCAGCGGCAGAGCTACGGGAGATTTCATATCGATCCCGGTGCCTCCAGATTTGAAAAATGAGAAGAAGTGGATGGGGGTTGCTATTGTTTTCTTGGTGAAGGGAAAACCTGGTGTCGCCCATGTTAAATCTGATTCAGAGGCTTCTGATTACTTCTACAAATGCAGAGTGGAAACTGAGGAATTTCAACTGGAACCATTCCTTCTTGACTGGAGACATCTCAACTCAATTGAATCAAGTTCTGAGTTACTTTGTTTTTTTTATGTACCTTGTGTGTGCTTTCCAAGGATGTTAAATGAATCGTTCGTGATTGGGACTTTATTTGAAACCAACAACCGGTGCATGGAGGTCCAGAAATGTGGGATTCGTCTTGTTTACGAGCAAGATGTTGAACAGTTTATCCAAACATTCATACCACAAAGTTTTGGTTTTGGAGGGCGGCAGCAACAACAAATCCATTTGCTGACCAAACAAAATCAACAACTTATCCCTTCTGACCCTTCCAATCTGAAAGTTGGAAAAGCTACATCAGAATCTGGATGGTTTAATCTAGATAATGACATTTTGAGATGGTAGAATTTAATTTTTGAAAACTACGTTATTAGCTTGGCATTAAAAGTTCATCCTTGATCTGACGTTGGAGTTCTTTGATTTCATATTCTTGTGTACATGTTTGATTGCAGGGAGAAATTTATTCCAACGTGTGAAGAAGCTTCCACAGTTTTGTTGAGAAGGAACATCGAGTCTGTTCTTCCAAGATACCTGGAGGTCTCTCTCTCTCTCTCTCTCAACACATTATTGCATACTCCAGGGACTAAACCATAGGTGGCAAGACTATGGATTTCCTTTAAGTGGAAGCCCAGCATGGTTTAATACTGAAGTTGGGACGTCTGTGACAATCGAGCTGCCTCAGAATCTGCACAAGTGTAAGAAGTGGATGGGTTTTTCTCTATGCGCATCACTTGCAGTAGAACACCAGCACATCGTAAAAGAGGATCAGTATCATGGTTCTTGTCGACTCGAAATGGGTAAACATTATATGAATCTGTCCCTAAACTTAGAGTCTCTGATTTCTGATAAACATCACCTTTTGATTGCTTACATTCCACGGTCGATGATTCCCGAACTGTTCACTCAAACATCACCAAGGCAAATCTGCCTTTCCTTTATTACCTACAGACCTGCTTTAAAGGTTAAAATCTGTGGGCTCCGTATTTTGTACAAGCAAGATTTACAAGGATTTGTCCAGACAATCACACAGTGCATATTAGGCAGTTCAGACACCCTCTTTGGATATTATAATGATTTGGTGGTAAAACATTGGATAAACTTAATTCTACTGCAAAGTTGTAAAGTCCTTACAGAGGAAAAACAGAGTCCCCGAGAATGTGATACTCGATTACAGCAAAGAAAGTTCCAGCTGATCTCTCAAAATTTCAGAAACCGGGTCTGTCTACGCTCTCTCTCTCTCTCTCTCTCTCTCTCTCCCCTCTCTCTCTCTCTCATATCTCACATTTAGAAACTTTATCTACAGGTCTGGTCTGACAATCACTTTGCATTTAATTTTGCTGGAATTGAAATTCCGAAGTGGTTCTTGAATCCAAATAAAGGCGACTGTGCACAGATTGATATGCCTCCAAATTTGTTCGATGATGGTAATTGGTTAGGAATTGCTGTATCTGGTTCTGTATCGATCCATGAACATCCAAATATCATTCAGGACACTCCCGACTCAGAATTTGATCGTGAGGTCATTTGTGATCTGAAACCCGGGGTTGAATTCGACAATAGTCTCCGTTTGGCATTCGGTACGGAGAAAGAGATATGGTTGCATGCACGTGATTTGACTTGGTTTGTATATGTATCACGTGCTCTATTTCCTGAATCGTGGAATAAATGCCATATAGTCAGTGCAACTTTAGGGTCCAACGGCCCAGGCTTAGGATTGCATGAATGTGCCATTCGTCTGGTGTTTAAGGAGGATGTTGAAGAGCTTGTACAAACGCTGACGCTCTGCGAGTTATCTTCAAACTGCGGTCATTGCAAGCAAGCTGCAGAATATGGTAATTGAAATACGTAGTGCCAGCTGCACACCGAAAGACTCAGCGAGCTTACCGATCTCATGCCATGGACAATGGCAAACGCATGCGTTGTAAGTAGCCTTTTATTTGTATGTTCTATCAATCGTTTTGCTCGTTAAACGCAGCCAAAGAATGCAGTGTCATCAAACATGGGTAAATATTTGCTTTGGTTTGTTAATGTAAATAATTAAGCGATCAATTATTTGGTGATAAGAAAATTATTATAATCGGCGTGCTACTGTGCTAAATATACATGAAAACTTGAAAAGTGAGCTGGTCAAACGATATTCTTTTTTGAAAACTGAATAGGTTTACATGGAATAGAAAAAGGTATCCTAGTCCCAGAAGGTCTCTCCCATGGCTGTCGCTCTTTCCCTCTCCGTCGAAACGAAGGTCTCTCGCCAGCTGCCCTCCGTTACAATTTAAAACTCATATCGTTGTTGCTGCGTCCGACGAGATTCGAATCGAACCGTTGCCGACGTCCCATGGTCGAAGGTTTTGCACCATCTTTAATTCTTTATACAAACACCTGGCGGTGCTCAAATTCCAAATCTTCCCCCAGATTGGGGATGAAGTCGTGCCGTCTTCTAAGGGGAAGTTCGAGATCTCTGTCCATGCCATTTACCGCGGAGCCATCACTCTCATGAGCTTCTGTCCGCCGCGGCGAAGCCATCGAAAACTCAGTCCGCGTAGAAAGGCAACCAGGAAGAAGATTGTCTAGTCGTCATCCGAGCAGCCGAAGAGTGCAGGCCTGGTCCCTTAAAAGTCAACCAAGGGGCATGTAGAAAAATGAACAGAAATATATTTTCATTATTGTTAAGCTATGAATTACGTACAACAAAAACACTACTCATATAGCAGCTCGTTCATCCATCATTAGTAGCTGTCCACTAGCTGCTGAATGAGCTGTCCACTAATGCTGCTTGTTTTCATCATTAGGTGTGCTGCTTTTCTACCAACAAAGTAGGTAAAAAAAAAATAAAGTTTAAAACTCAAAAGGAAGAAGGGAGCTCCAGCCAAATGTTACAAAAGGATGCCTTTGATGTAGAACAAATGGCACAGGGTCGCTGGAAGACAAAATGACGCATTAGGAATTTGTCTATTTGGCGTCTGATCTTCGAATTGCGCTCGTGATACTTTTTCAGAATTGAAACGACGCCATGAGTCAAATACATCGCTTTGCAATGACGCACAATAGATTTGGGCCATCCTGGGTCATTTTAGCCTTCAAAACAGCGTTTAAAGTTTCGCAATAAAAAATGGACCTTTCATTTTTTGTCAGATTAATGTTTAGCCATTGTTCTAAAAATTCCTGCCTAGCGCCGCCTAGGCGGGGCTTAGGCGCTAGGCGGCTGGTCACTGTCTCGATTAATGCCCTAGCGTTTGAAAATTAAGAAACAGCGCCTAGACCTGCTGAGACGCTCGTCTATGCACCCGCCTAGCCCGACCAAACCTGTCTAGGTTGCAACTCACTTAGACAAAAAATAGATAACTTTCATTTTGCATTTTATTTTTTTTCAATAAATTGTAAGAGGCTTGTTGAATACTTAAACGAACACACATTATATGCTTGTTCTTCATATTGTCATTATGTTCCAATACTTCATAATATATGTCATTCTATTTTGAAATTATACATATTTAACGTATAAACAAAAACTTATTTACACGAAATATAATAGATTTACTTAAATCCGTCTAGTCCGTCTAGTCCGCCTAGCCCATCGCCTGACTAGCGCCTAGCGTCTTTTAGAATCTTGTGTTTAGCTAATGTTGTTTTAATTTCTAGAAGTCCTCAGTTGTTCAAAACGTTTGTAAACTTTATTTAAGTCACCTGGATCTAATCATTTTGATCATTCAGTTATCAATTAAGCAAACAACCCTTTGGGATTTCTCTTAATTTCCTGATGGATTCCAGATTTGTTCTTCGAGGGATTACGTTGGTAACCCTTCGATTACTTTGTTATGCGTCAATTGGTACTAGAGCGGGTTTCTCTCATCTTGGCATCGTTGATTGCCCTATCTATCCATGGGTGATCGTAATCGTGAACTTGCCCCAATTACTCGAGCGGACTTAGAAATTGAGGCATAATAGATTGCAAACTTAACTTCACAATTTGGAGAGCTTCGTAAGATGCTGTTGCAAGCCCTCGGTCAAAATAACCAAAGAGTTTCTGAAGGCAAATAATCCGTAAGCTCCTACGTCCCGTGTTCAAGATAGCGAATCGGAGTCCGAGGAAGAAGCTGTGGAACCACCCCAACTAACAATCTAATTCATCAAAACCACAACAACAATGAAGAAGATTACGAGGGAGAAGAAGTTGGCCATCCTCCAAAACAGCGTTCAAGGTTTCGTAATCAAAATCGGACTCTTCGTTTGTCGTCCGATTAATGTTTAATTAATGTTGTTTTAATTATTAGAAGTCCTTTGAGTTGTTTCAAATGTTTGTAATCTTTATTTCAGTCATCTGGATGTATCAATGACAATCATTCAAGAATTAATCAAACACAACCCTTTGGGATTTCTCTCAATTTTCTAGTGGATTCTAGACTTTGTTCTATAGGGGATTACGTTGATAAACCTTTCATTGCTTTGTGCTGCTACATTAGAGTACATAATTATGTATAAGTTTTGGGATGGCAAGACTTGAATTATGTTGTTATTTGTCCATTTGGATAAGAATGATGGCTTGCTTATGTTTGTTTTGGTTGACGTTTAGGTTGCTTTCATAGTTTAAATTTATCTGTGCACGGTTGAAACATTAAACCGGTCTTGACTTTTTTTTTTGGAGAAGAGGTAAAATTCATTACCAACAACTTGCTTACATGCTTCCATAAACATAGGCTCAAAAACATAAAAAATACAAAACAAAAGATGGACCTCTAAAATAATAACCACAAAAGCCCAACCCGTGGGTTGAGCTAAGAGCAACTCCAGCGTGGGCTGGTGCTCGGGGGACGGGGGACGAAATAGGGCTAGATAGCCCGACCTTGAAGCTCCAGCGTGGGCAGCCCGAGGGAGAGTGGAGGCCCGAGCTCCGGGCCTATGAGGAATTGCAAGCCCGAGTGGATGTGACGTCATCCTGGCGTCTACCCAATTTTTTATTTTTTTCTGTTAGGTGTGTGCCACTCACCCGCACGTGGGGGCGCGTCAGCCGATAGCTTTTCAGACTTTGGGCCCACGTCGCAGTCTGCCGATGTTTTCCCACGGTCCGTTCGATCTCAACGGCTCTTTAAATTTGATTGTCCGATTTACAACGGTAATAAAAAAAATCTTATTTAATATCAACAGTTGGATCTGAAATCAATGGTTGATAATTGCTTTATAAATAAATAAATAAAAAGAAAAAATAGTTTTAAAATTAAGAAAAGTTACCGTTGTGACACGTGGCAAAATCTTGAGTGTTGGAATTCAATTTTTTTTTTTAAATCTAACAGCAGAGATTAATTAATTCAATAAAAATTTAAAAAAATCCGAACAAAATCTGAAATTTAAAAAAAAAAAATTTGTTTTTACTTTTCTATAAATACCTTCTCATTATCATCTACCTTACACCAAAATTTCATATTTTCTCAACTACTTTCAGTCAAATTCCTATTTCTCTCAAAGTTTCAATCCAATTTTTTTCAACAAAATGATTACTGATGCAGGTACGAATTGGTCACTTCTTGAAGATGTTGCGTTGTGTACTAGCTGGGTTAAAGTTACTCATAGTTTGCTTACGGGTAATGAGATGCAGTTGCGAGAAATGTGGAGTCTTATTCATACCAATTATCTTGAGAAATGGGGTGGGAAAAGAACCAAATAATCGATGTCCAGTCGTTGGAAATTACTTAGCCAATCGTTTAGTACGTGGAGAGACGCCTTGGCACAAGCTAGTACTAATCTTCGAAGTGGGAAAAATTATGGTAATCAAGTAACAATATATTATTTATTTGTTTGTACTATACCCAAATTTACATTATAATTATTTGTTTGTATTATTTATTTATTACCTACTTTCATTATAATTATTTGTTTGTATTATTTATTTTTTACCTACTTTCATTATAATTATTTCTTCTTCCGCATTGTGTAGCAACTTCAAGCACAAGCTTGGTATGGTGCCAAAACCAAAAGCAAAAATAAATCATTCAACCGGTGGGAATGTTGGAATATTGTAAAAGATTGTCCTAAATTCAGAGTTGTACATGTCGGTCCAAAAGTTTTCATGAACAGCACCCCTCTACATTCTACACCCGATCATGGCTCCCATGTTCATGAAGATGATGCAGAAGAAGTGCCCGAAATGCCCCTCCCTGAACAAGCGTTGGGGTCGACCCGTTATCCAATTAGGCCTCAAGGTAAGAAGGCTTCAAAGAGAAAAGGGGGTGCTTCCAAGAATGATTATGCAAAGTACATGGAAGAACTTGCTCGCCAAGGTGAATTGACTTTGGCACGGGAAATGGCAAAATTTGAGGCTGATAAGGTTAGAGATGAGGCAAAAGATACAGCTGTTGAGAGAGAATTTCAAGCTGATGAGAGGGAAAAAGAGCTACTTAGGCAAGAAAGGGAACAGGTTAAAGAAGAAAGAATGACTCAACAAGATCGTGACATTATGAACACGCCTTTAGAAGGGCAATCTCCAAATTCTAAATATTTTTGGAAGTCGGAGAAAGAGGATGTGGTGCGTAGGAGGCGTGCAAGAGAAGCGAGAGCAAGTGGAGATGGTCCTAGCACGACAAGAACAGATCATCCTAGCACCACAGATTGGTTAAGTGATGATGAATAGAGTACTTTTTGTAATCGGAGCCCATAATTTTCCAATGACTTTGGGTTGTAATTTATTATTTGTTGAATAGTGTACTTTATGTTGTTTCCAATTTATTGAATTTAATACTTTATTTATAGTGAGAGTAAATTTATTTAATTTGGTAAGTTATTTATACTATAAGAGAATATTTATTCAAATGACAAAAACACACCAAATAAAATTACATAAACATACCAAATAATTAAAAATGAACTAAAAATGAACTAAAAAAAACACACCAAATAATTAAAAAATCACTAAAAATGAACTAAAAAAAACACACCAAATAAAAACAAACACACTAGATGAACTTAATTATCTTCAGCTTGTTTCAATGCCCATAGGTGCTCTATCAAGTCATTTTGCCGGGCATTGTGCATATATGGCCTTTGAAGTGCAGTATATTGTTGAATGACCAATTCATTGTAACGTCCA